GGTTTCATCCACCAGTTTTAAAAGAAGCACTCCAGTTTATGTTTTGTGTTTGTGCATGCCTGCTCCATTTATTAAAAGCCTCTCTCTCCCACTATTGTTGAGAAGTAATTTATTTTTTAGTTGCTTTTAGAATAAATGAAATTTCAATTAAAATTTTTTTTATTGGTCCGCCATTGTTTCCAAAAACCTAACTGGTGGTTATCTCCAACTAATGTTTTATTGTTCCCAGGATAACATTAAATCTCAGGCCCTGAACTATTTTTATCTTAATTTTCAGGTATCATTTGTACTTTCATTTTAATAAAATTTTGAATTATTTCTATCCAACTCTGGAATTAGTGTCACTAAAAACATTTGATTTTTAAAATATTTTCCTTTTTTAAGGTTTATAATAAATTTTTGGTGGTAGAGAACAAAATATTTATATATATATATATATATATATATATATATATATATATATATATATATACACTGTATCTCCACCTCTTCTGAAATACTTTTTTTACTGAATAAGTGACTGTAGAGTTGACCATCAAAAAGATAATGCTGAAATTTTTCGTTAAAAGATTAAATTATATAGTAATTTTAAATTGAATATTTTATGTGAATAAATTATCAAGGAACTTTGCGATTCATCAAAGAGCAAAATATTTTGATAATATGAGTTATTACAGTTATATACATGTGTTGCAGAAATACCACCCACATAATAGTAAAACAATAGCAATGGTGTCTTCATCTAGCTAATGTGGGAGGTATTCCTCCACACACTGTATAAATAATGTATTGGGTTGGAATGAAAGTTTATAGGGTTTGTTTTTTTTGTTTTTGGTTTTTTTTTAAGCAAATTTCAAAGACAATATTTAGATATTTGTACATTTATTCAACCACATGTACCATTTTGTTCTGTTACTTTTTACCATTTTGGGGGAAACTTCGTAATTCCACCCTCCCAGAACTCGACATCTTTCCGAGTGATATTAGGAATTGCCTAAATGTGCCTGCAAGTTTCACATGCTTACAGTTCAGGGACATCAGAATGTGTCTGCAATTGGGTAGCATTATTTCAATATGCAGCATCAGCACTCATTACTTAATCAACTAAAAGTGCTGGAAATCTACAACTTTTAAAAATTGTAGATTTCCAAAACCATGTCTCATATACCAAGGAGGCTAAATTGAAAGATTAATCAATTTACTTTCATATGAAATCAACTTGCAATACTTGATTTTCAACAGTTATTTTTTTTTTTTTTTTTTTTTATAGATATATCGGTTTAATTGCACTAACATCACATATTCAGATTTTTCAACAATTCGGAGAGGACACCAGGAATTTAGCTGAAACCTCTTATGGACTGATAAGGCTAAATTATTTTTACAAAGAATTGAAATTTTTCCCATTAAAAGAATTTTGTAGGAATCAAAATAAGTGTTAAATTGAAGGTGAGTATTGAGGGTGTAGTAAGATATCTCAGTCAAGCTGTACCAGTTTCTTCTGGGCTGACAAGAGATGTGAGATTTGGCATTGTCATGATAGAAAATGACACCCTTTTGATTGGCCACATCTGGACACTTTTCATCAATTGCTGCCTTTAATTGGTCCAATTGGTAACAGTACTTTTCTGAATTCAACATCTGATTTTGCAGAAGGAGGTTGTAATGCCTTTAAACCCATGATAGGCAGCATTACCTTCTTTAGATACAAACTGGCATTTCCTCTTCTCCAGGACTTTTTCGCTCCACATTGTTGTAAACAATTCCTTTTTCATTGCCTGTGATCATTCTTTTCAATGCATCCATTAAATTTTTTCCATTAAATTGCAAGGCACCCAAACATTGTAGTGATTCATGCATCCAAGCATTTTCAAATGCCTTCCAACACTGATGTGAGATCTCTGCGCATTATCGGTTCTCCAGACCAAGATTTCTATTCTTAAACCTGGTGAACTATTTATGAATTGTACTTAGTTTTGGAACCATCTCTATAAATGGTACATATTTTTTTTTTTTTGTTTTTTTTTTTTTCCGAAAAATAAAAGAGCATCAAATTCATCCATTTTCATTTCTAATGTGAAAGCATTTAAAATTCAGAAACCACACAATAGTTCTCAAAATTAATATCATCCTTGGAATGATGAAACATTAGTTTGGGATGACCAGTTAGGGATTTTGGGATTATGCTGGCATGATAAATTTTTAATTCAAAGTTCATAACTGTTCTAAAAGTAGCTAATTCCTTAAAAAAACAAATATTCTCAACAATTGCAGGGTGGGGCTTTTCATAAATGGAACAGGCATGCACAAAACAAATAAACTGAAGCGCTTCTTTTAAAACTAGTGAATGAAACTTGAATGATAAATGAAGTTTTAAAAATAATAAACATAGAAAATTTAAATTTAGTCATGACCCAAGACAGGTAATTGTAGTGAAAATGTTTTGATAACAACTTTAAAACGTTTTTGATTGTGAATAGTTGGAATGCACTAAAATTCTTCATAAAGAAAATAAATGCCTGGAACACAATTCTTAAATTATGATGAAACTTCCTATGAAAGTAGTACGACTATTTTTATGTAAAAATTATTCAAGGTGATTTAACCAGAATGGTTAAATA